CCCCCCCCACACACACACCTCAGGGCACTACGTCTTCCTGTTGGGGGCCTATAGGTCACTCTACCTTGTCAACTGGGTGTACCGTGCCCACTACGAGGACGGGTACCAGCACAACGTCTTGGTGTACATTGCCGGCCTTGTTCAGTCCCTGCTCTACGCAGACTTCTTCTACTACTATGCCATCAGGTATGTAGCAATTGTTTTACCTTCGGCTTGTCGAGTAGGTGTCATGGCCCGGTCTGACCAATGAAAAGACGTCAAAGTGGGGTTCAAAACACAAAGCACTTCTAAATGCCGTCAATGGGACCCCGTGAGGGGGCGGCATGGGGGCGTTTGTGTGTGTGCAGCCGTTTGGTGAAAACGGGAGCGCATCTCCGGGTGTGGTCGATTTTTGGCCGTTCGACCTCCACACCGCAAGTGGGCGCTGGGGTGCCGGGGTAGGGAGTTGTCATGTCTGGAGCTTTCTTTCTCTGGACGCGACGTCCGGCATTAAGAAACCAACTTCTTTGTTTGGTCCTCCAGACGTGTGATCGGTCAGGGTTTAGGAAGCCCACACCAACAATTTGTGATTTGTCCGGGTTTTTGATAAGACAACAACCTGGACGTCCGGTTGGCAGTCTTGAGTGCCTGATTTGGTAGTATCGCAAATGCCTCCGGTTTGGGGCTCTTTGGTGCCTGATTTAATAGCATCTCATTTGCCCTTACTCTCTCTTCCCCCCTCACCTCCCCGCCTCTTGCCGCACCGTGCCGACGAAACGCACCCGCTTGAAAATCAGCAAATATTACGGCGGCCGCATGTCTCTGCCGGCTTGATCTTGGTCAACCATTGGAGCGGGATTTTTGTCAAGCTGACACTGCGACAACAACGGCGACCACAGCGAAGCGTCCTCGACAGGACGAGCGCGAAGCCCGGCTTTTTCTCAAGCGGACACAAGACCTTTTGTAGTGCGCAGGGCTGCTGTGGCCAGAGTACCCGAAACGTCGGCCGAGGCGGGTGGCACCCCTGCCCCGCTCGGGTTTCCGTTCAGTCGTTGGTTGCGCCTGTTTCTAGGCGAAGCGTTCTCGTGTGCACCACGACTGCGCTCATGCTAGCCTTTTTCGCTTCCTCCCTTCTCCCCCTCACTCCCCCAGCGGTTGATGGTGAGGATAATTTTGTCGATAGAAGCTCCTCCGACATGGGTTAGTACTGCTTCTCGCCAAGGTGTGTCAAGGCATCAAGAGGGGGGCGAGGGAGACGTGTAAAGTGGTGA